TGGTGGGGGAGATGGTGATGGTGGTGATGCTGGTGGTGGTGGTGGAGGTGATGATAGTGATGATGATGGTGGTGGTGCTACTGATGGTGGTGTTGGTGTTGGTGATGATGATCATGATAGTAGTGATGTGGTAACGACAGTGGAGATGATTATGCTGATGGTGATGCTGGTGGGGATGATGGTGATGGTAGTGGTGACGGTTCTGGTGGAAACGACGGTGATGGTGGTGGTGGTTGTAGTGGTGGTGATGGGGTGGTGGAAATGATGACGATGGTGCTGGTGCTGGTGACAGTGGTAGTGGCAGTGGTGGTCATAGCGGTGGTGGTGGAAATGATGATAGTGCTGGTGACAGTGATGTTGTAGCAGTGGTGATGGTGATGGTGGTGGTGGTGGAAGTGATTGTGATGACAGTGGTCATGGTGATGGTGGAAGATGATGGTGCTGGTGGTGGTGATAGTGGTAGTGGCAGTGTGATGGTGGTGGTGGTAGTGGCAGTGGTGGTAGTGGCAGTGGTGGTCGTGGTGGTGGTGGAAATAATGATGATAGTGCTGGTGCTGGTGGTGGTGGCAGTGGTGGTAGTGGCAGTGGTGGTGGTGGAAATGATAGTGCTGGTGATGATGGTGTTGATAGTGGTGGTGGCAGTGGTAGTGGCAGTGGAGGTGGTGGTGGTGGCAGTGGTAGTGGCCGTGGTAGTGGCAGTGGTGGCAGTGGTAGTGGCAGTGGAGGTGGTGGTGGTGGCAGTGGTGGTGGTGGTAGTGGCAGTGGTAGTGGCAGTGGTGGTGATGGTGGTGGAAATAATGATGATAGTGCTGGTGCTGGTGGTGGTGGCGGTGGTGGCGATGGTGATGGTGGTGGTGGTGGCAATGGTGGTAGTTTGTTATAAGCAGGGGCATATGTAGCTGGCTCTTCACCCTTCACTTCTTCCCTTCCCACTTTTGCAGTTACGTGCTATCTGAAGAGGCAGCAGTCATCCTGAAATTTTGAGGTAGCAAGGACAGTAACAAAAAACGATTTACTAAGGGAGGCCAAGTGCAATGGTGACAGCCTGGGCCCCAGATGCCACAGATGAATGGCTGAGCCAATGCCAACAGAAGCCCGCCTCTAAACTGGTAGGTTTTGGAGAAGAATAACCTCTGCTCTGTTTTAGGCACCGTTGGACAGTGGGTTTTCTGTTCCTTGAAGTCAAACACAATACTGATGGGACACCCTCCTGGGATGTGAGCAATGCCTGTGTGCGCTGAGCTGTCAGCGCACACAGCCATGGATGTTCGCTGACCTCCTGCTCCTCTCGTTTTACACAACACTCTGTTCTTCTGTGATTCGCATTTCTTTACTTATGTATTTCATAGTTTTAGATACTTCACAGTACTTATCAGATAATCTCATTATGTGAGGTATTTGGAGGCCTGCTTTTCTATTTGTTGTTTCTTTTGATGCCTGCTCCTTGAGGCTCACTTCCTCAATGGTTTTCTAATTTTGACCAGCAAGTTCACGTGTGCTGGTCTTCCTTCTCTGTAGGACTTCCCTGTGGCCTGGATTGAGAGGATGACTGTTACTTCTGCCAGGTGTCCAGGGGGTGTTACCAGCCCAGGAATATTTCTCACGTTGATGTATTGTGTTTTGTGGTACCTAGGCCATGAGGTACAATACATTTGAACCCCGAACCCTGAACTCTAAACGATGTGGACATTGTTTGCAGAGCTTACAAATTCTCAGGAATCCTTTTTCTTTTTATTCAGCACTCAAGCGAAAATGGACAAGCTTCCTTCTTTTCACTCTTTGTTAGGGTGCAATCTGCTCTTTTACCAAATATGGAGCTTCTTGTGGGTGTCACCTTCTGCAGGGATCTCAGACACAGTTCCCCATCCTGATCTGGCCTGTGGGACTTCTCCTATATATGTACGGCTATAAACCCAAGCCCCAGTGTACATAAATGGACTCCCATCACCTTTCCTGCTCCACCAGGTATCTGAAATGCTAACACCTATTTAGTCTACTGCTTTCCATGTTTCTTTCCATTTTTGGCCCCTGATATTTACCCTCACTTCTTTTCGAACTCCGTTATGCATTTAAGAAGACATTTATTGTATTTTGTTTTGTACCTGTCAGAATCACAAGTCAGGCAGGTTTGGAAAAAGAGGTAGCTTTAAGGATGTTCTTCGCATCACTGCATCACTATTGATAATGGCCCAGCACCCCTCCCCCGAGGGAAGGAATCCAAGTACTCCCTGGGAGACAGTGAAGGGTCAGCTCCCGAGGGTGGGCCGGGCCTGATTTTATCATCAGTGTATCACCAGCACTAGCTCAATGCATGGCGTGTAGTAAGCGCTCAGTAATTTTGTGGCTGGATTTTGAACTAGGAATTAGTAATTTAATTGCTGCTACAGATTCATATGTGCCTTACTAAGCCGCATTAAAATTATTTTGTAGGAAAACATTTAATAAAGTGGGAAAATGTTCTTGACATATTTTTAGTTAAAAGAAAAAAATAATACGAAAGATAACGTAGGTTGCCTGACAGCTATGTGCAGTACAAGTTCTACTTGGAGAAATAAAATGGTGCAAGAAAAATAGATGAGAAAGATATATATATACAAAAATATTAAAAGAGGTTATCTTTGGAGTGGGATTACAGATAATTTTTGTTATTTTCTTTATACTTTTATGTTTTCTGATTTTTCATAGACAATGTGCATGACTTTTGTAATTTGTTTTAAAGAAGGCAGATAGGGCAACTGCCATCAAAGAGGGACCGCGGCAACCAAGTGACCTCCAGAGCTGACTGCTCTCCGGAAGACTTGGCCTCACTTTCGCTCTCCACACAGTTACTTCTGTTGGGTAGGTCCCAACACCTTCCCTTACCACTGGCCTGGGCATCGGGGCTTATGCAGGAAACATTTTAAAAAAGAAACAATAGCAAGAACAACATTCATAATAATAGTTACATAAAAGAAGAACAACATTAATGATAATAGTGAACACATGCAAAATATATAATGCGTCAGGACATATGTAATCATTTATATGTATTATTCAGTTAGTCCTCATGACGTAAATTACCCTATTTTATAGATAAGAAGAATGAGGCATATACATATTGTAATGTATGTATAGAAGGCATACCGTTTTCAAATATGTTACTGTATCAGTTAGGATAGGCTAGAATTTGCTGCTGTAACAAGCATCCCCAAATCTCAGCAACTAGAAGCAACATATTTCTCCCTTATATCCCACTGCCATTGTAGATCAGATCTTCTTGACTAAGGGACAACTCAGGCTCTATCTCTTTGTCTCTGCTTTTGCCAAGGCAAGGTGAAAGAGACTAGACTACAAGACTATTGTGAACTGTGTCTTACGATTTTCTCCAGGAAGTGGCACAAGTCATGTCTACTCACTGGCAAAGTGAGTCACATGACCATACCCACTCAAGAGGCCCAGGGTATGGCCTCCTACCATGTCAGCAAAGGAGACCCAGACTATTTGAAAAACAGCACAAATGACTACCATAGATATCTAAATTGATCCTCGGAAAATATTATCCTATTTTAGATTAGAATGGCTGGTTAGTGGACCCTCCCAAAGAGACCTAGTCAGAAAAAAAGGTGGAGTGTCGCACCAGTGCCTGAGTTCCAAGGCCTTAGGCCAGCTGCAGAGTTCTAGGCTGTTCTAGTCTAAGAGTCATCATGAGCAGAGGAGCCCCCAAAGCAGAAGGAAACAGTGGGCCCCTAACATCTTGTTTTTTATTCTTTCCACAGTATTTTATTCATTCCAAGAAAAAGGTTCTTGCTGCTCTTATCACGGGGGTAACACTTCCCCAAGCGAAGGAGCCGTGATGTTTCACAGCCCAGAGAAGGGTGAAAGGGCTTGGTGATGTGATAAGCCGAACCACCGTTCAGCTCCATCTCTAGCTGTGTGACCCGGGCAAACACCCAAACCTCAGAGCCTCGCTTTCCTTATCTGTACTTCTAAGGGTTCTTAGGAGGATAAAATTGGAGGAGATTACAAGTGCCTGGCGCAAGTAGTCACTCACCAGTATGTTTCTTTTATTTACTCACTGACCCAAATTATTTGACCATGTAACCCTCAGTTTTCTCATTTATATAATAGAGTTCTTAATGGTGGCTACACTTCTCTCATGCCAGTTGTATGAACCGATGCAGGTGCGAACATTTTTAAAAGCTAAAAGCACTTTAGAAAATGCAAATTTTAAAAAGCGCTCATGATAAATGTAAACACGCTGGACTTCTGGAAGGTGTATCTTAATCAGAGGACTACCGTTTTTGAAACAGAGAGCCACATTTGGCAGATATATTTTCACCTCAAGTACAAGGTCCAGGCTGGGGGCCGTTCCCATGCGGGGGTGGGAGGGGGCTCTTCCACCTGACTGGGAGGCGCTCTGACTTCCAGATTCAGCGGCTGAGTTGCGAATCCCCGCGGGGGGAAAGCGCCACTGGCCCAGGCCACTGTGCCACCCGAGCGAGCGCAGGAGGGAAGCGAAAGGCGGAGGGCCAGTGGGGAGGGGTGAGTGGCATGGCCGGTGGCTCTGCCTTACTCTTCTCTTCCTGGAAGAAAACTTGTGCGGCGGCCAGGGTCCCCAGTCCTGTCCCTGAGGGCGCTCTGTGGGTCCTGCGGGCACCGAGGTGGCCTTTCTTTAACCAGGGACGCGCGCGGGCACCACTGTCTCCCGGGGCGCGCATACAGGACGGGCCCTGCTCCAGACCCCCCGCCTTCCTCCACAGGGGGATGGGGGCTAGACTTGGGGGCTCTGGGGGAAGGGGGTCTGCACCCTGGCCTGGCAGCCCCCTCTGGCGGGGACAGTGAAGCCTTGGGGGCTTTCGAGACAGGTGCCCACGTTGCCCAAACCACGTGTTGGCGTCCCGAGGCCGTGAGGTTTTCAAAGTTGGAGTTGGGGCTGTGAGGCTGGGCAGGAGGGGCGAGATGGGGCTTCGGTGTCTGGCCTGGCGGTGGCGGGGGAGGAGTGGGGGCTCCTGAGGAGGAGTAGGCTGAGCAGGTTGTGGGGGTTGCCCAGGGGGAGGAAGGCGCCCACGCCCAGGAACAGCCCGGGAGGCAGGGCGGGGCGTGAGCTGGAAGGAGGTGGCTGTGGTGGAGACAGGAAAGGGCTGGAAAGGTGAGGACCCGCCCTGGGCATAGCGTGGAGCCCCGCTGCCACCCAGTCCCTGCCTCTCCGCGGCCTGCAGACCCGGGCCTAGGTGGGAATCAGCCTGCACGCGGCGTTCGGGAGGCGGACTCTTCCTTGAGGGGCAGGACTCTGGGGTGCCAGGAGGACTGGGCTGCCGGCTTGGCACCCATGCATTTGTTCTAATGAAAGAAGGAATGAACGGGGTGACTCTGTGGGGCTGCGCCAAGGCCGTCCCCTGCAGGGCTGCGGTGCAGTGCGGGTCTGCACACTGAGCCCCGAGGGGTCCAGTCTGGATGAAACCCGCAGGCCTTCTCCCCTGTGCACTGGTCCCGCAGCAGCCAGGAGTGCGAGGTCCTCGCGGCCCAGCCCTGTCCCTCCGTTCCCGGAGAGCGCATCATCCCCTGGGCAGAGCCCAGGCGAGGGAGAGGCCAGCAAACATCCTGGGGCGCAGGGAACTGTGGGCTGCCCACGTGGAGCCCCCTGAGCAGAGGGAAGCAGCGGGGTGGGGGCCAAGGCTCGCAGCCCGGAAGGGGGCCTTGGTGGTGGTGAGTGGTTTGGCTTTACCCTAAGCCTGAGAGGAAGCCATCGCAGGGTTAAGCAGAGGGAGGACTCCTGTACTGTCCTCTCCTGTTTTTCCTCTTTGGAAAAGGTCCCTTTGGAAACTAGGTGGGGTGGGGAGGACAGCCATGTGGTGTGTCCTCCAGGCAGGAGTGGGCCTGGTGGGTGAGGGCAGACCTGGTGGGTGAG